TAAAGCATACTTAAGCATACTTTCGGCCATTGTATTTCTAGTGAGAGAAAAATATTAGTTTGGTTCCATTAATATCATTTTGTGTATAGAAAATATCTATAATATTTTCTAAATATTATTAGAAATATTTTCTATAGAAATATACAAGATTATTATTATCCCAAATTTTAATCTTTATATTTTATACTACTATAATCTTTACTAGCATAAAGATTGTGGTAGACTCCGGCGTTGTTCGTGTGTCAAAGTTGGAGACCGGACGCTTGAACGGTTACGTTTGCACTTTCAACGCTCTTTCTACGATTTCTTCGTTTTTACCGCTTACGGAGAAAGGTATAAATTTCTTACTCACTATAAGTTTTAGTACGTGATTCTGGGCAAGATAATCATGTTAGGATGTTAAAATTTTTATATTCCACTGCCTATCCTTGCATGGTTACCTTTCAGATAGTGCTACCCTTGCTTTCTCGACCCAAGGTGGCTCGAGTGTGTCTTGATATTGATGTCTCTAGACCCCTTCATCAACGGATACATGTTCGCCATGTTGATGAAGACCTCTTCTTCCAAATCAATTATTAAGATCCTCCATCATTCAGTACATCATGTCGGAAGCTTGGACACGCATCTCATGCATGTAAGCGATCACAAGATGATACAAGTAATCGTCCATTGGATGCTAACCCTCCTAAGGTGGTCCCTCCCAAAGCTAAGGAAGTTGTAAGAGATGAAGAATGGACTGAGGTTAGATCTAAAAGGCAAGTCCCTATCACTAAATCTACTTGGATTCCCAAAACTAATGCGTTGGACGTGCATGGGAACTTGCATGCTGAAACCTCAATGGCTGGATCCAAACGCAGGCCTCCTATTCGTGTCATTTGTTCTAGCGAGAGCCTCTTTTTGGATACATCTTGAAATGCCCATCTTGCTTGCGACCCTTGTACGCAATCCCACCTGTGACCATCAACTTGGATACCATTCATGAATCTGATGAAACCCATGAGCCTAATGAGGAAGTTCCTGTGCATGCCAATCCTTTTGATAATCTCTCAGACGTGGGAGAAGAAAGGCCTATTGAGGATATTCTAGTGAAGCTTATTTCATCATCTGTCCCTTCGTCTCCTTCCCATTCCAGGACCTATTCATCTAGGGTGAGAACAAGATCAGATTATAAAAAGTCTGGTGATAGCGTTCTTCTCCCCCTACCATGATCAACATCATCTTTTGGAACATTAGGGGAGTTAAGAAACGGTGTGATAGACTCACCCTTCTTAAGAAGCACCACTATGTGGACTTTTTCTTCATTATTGAACCTATGATTTCTGATAATAAATGCGACAATTTAGCTTTTAAACTTGTTTTTTCTGGCTTCAACTCGGCCCTTTCTGGAAAGTTGTGGTTTGGCTGGGATTCTTCAAAATTCTCTTTGTTGAATAGAGTTGAATGCAGTCAGGTTTGCCATTTTACTATGCAGAACAAGTTAGATGGTTTCTCTTTTGTGCTCAGTGGAGTTTATGGGGCCCACTCAACCAACGCGAGGAGGACTTAATGGCACGATTTAGCCTCCTTCCATTCTAACAACTCTCTACCGTGGTGTCTTGGGGGAGACTTCAATGCTATTTCAGACATGCTGCATCACAAGGGGCCTAAACTTCCTAATATTGATAGTGTGACTGATTTTAGCCACTACGTCAAAAACAGATGCTGACAACTGTTCTTTTTAGTAGTCTAACTGTGCTAGTTTCAGTAGTCTTCCGAGCAGCTGTCTGATATATTTACAAACTACTGTTTAAAAACAATTGTGTAATACGGTTGACGATACCTATTTTGTGATGTTTTAGAGTACATGTTTTTGAAGTTGTCCTCGTATGAGTAAGACATCTGTTTTCTGGAGTTAAAGACAACTGTGATGTTTTGTTGTCTATCTATAATGAATATTACTGTTGTTTTCGACTTCAGACTCTTATTGTGTGATGTTGTCGTTCAACAATATAGACATCTAATTTTAAAAGTAGTTGAAAGATATATCAGACTGCTGCTTGGAAGACTACTAAACAAAAATAATATAAGACAACTGTTATCTTGTGTTATATTTCTAAAAAATATACTACTAATATTGTTGTATTTTAAACAACCGTTTCTTCCACTTGTATAGTACACAATAACACAACGCTTTTTTGTAGCTGTCCTTGAAATATTCAAACTATCTTTTTATATAGTAGTCAGATTGTAAATCAGACTACTGCTCCGAAGACAACTAAGTATGTTTGCATAAGACAACGGCTATTCTGTGTTGTATTTGTAAAATGTAAACAACTATATTTGTTGTATTTCACACAACTGTTTATTTGTATTGTCTAACGTTTATTAATAGTCCAGGTTTATGTAGTTGTCCTTTAAAGATTTAGAAAACTGTTTTAATACATTGTAAAGCTATTTGAAAGACTACTATATTTCAATTTACATTTATATTTAATTAATAAAATTTAATTCAATTCCAAAATATTGATCATGAAACAAAAATAAATTCTAAAATGTAGTTAGTATTGAATAATATCTAAATACATACAATCCAAGTCTAAATAACATCCAATAATTTAATATTTACATAATTAAAATCACTCTAATTGTTCATTCAGCATGCCTAATTTAGTTATTTGTCACCTCAATAACATTTTTGAATACATCTCTTGCTCTAGCAACATTTTCTTGTAAAGCATCCTCTTTAGTCCTCAATCTGCAAACCATAAAATAATTAAAATGAAAGTTTGTTAATAACAAGAAAGAGTTCATAACAAAAATACTTGAAACTTTTTGGAGTTATTTGCTAACTTAAATAGCTCAAAATTAGTTCATATGCATCTATTTAACAATTGAAGCTCATAATTTAGCTTTGAAATCAAGCAAAGTTGTAGATTGTTCTAAATAAAAAATAATTCAATTTTGATTTTATTCAAAATCAACACTTAAAATTCAAAAATCAATATATAAACACAATGTCATGCTTCTACATATGGTTTATAAGCAGGATGTATCAATGATAGTTCAACTTTCAAGAACATGATCACTCCATAAGACAAAACAACAAAACAATAAAGCCTAAAAGTTCAGTGCATATAATCTATGTTATTTATATAAGTAACACCAAGGTTATTATAGTTTCTAGATTCTAATCAAGTTGCGAGATATCAAGTCCACCCATATGTACTCCCTCCCCAAGAAACAGGTTTCGCAAAAACGCAGTCAATATGCTTAGCAAAAGTATTTCAAAATCAGGTCCAACTTATTCCTCCAAGGTAATCAGCTCCAAAAAACAGCAGTGAAAACCACCCCACACGATGCCCAATGCCAAAGTCAAACTTCCATTACAAAGTTGGCCTAAACTACCAGTGAATATTCAAACTCCAGCAGCTTCATTTGAACCTTTTGGAGGCCAAAACAGCAGCCCCAGCACTGCCATTTCAGCTCCATTTCAAGCCCAAATGCACAACAAAAATAGCCACCGCAGCAGCACGGGTTAACCTCCAAAATAAGTATCATTCAAACATCAAATTGCCACATTTTGTCAAATGGTGACAGCCCCAAGGCTTAATCACACAGTTCCAATTTGTTTTCAGTAGAAATAGAAGTTCATGATCAGCAAGTCCCTCCTATAAGCAAGTAAAAGGATCAAGAAAATACAGTTCCAAAAATACAGTTAAAAGTAGTCCAAAATCAATTTTGCAACTTCACAACTCCAGCAACCGTAAATTCAAGGCAAAAGTAAAGATTTTGTTTAATTAACATTTCAATAGTAGCATCAAGAGCAAATAAACCCTGAAAATAAACCCATCACATAGGTCTTACAGTCCATAAAATAGAAATAATTCGAAGGGCAAGACACAGTTCCAACTCATCAAGAACAACAGTTTAATTCACAACCTTAAATCACAAAGGCAACTCAAAAGAGGTGTTATTAGAAAAACATGAATAATCTCTCACAACACCAGCGTAGAATCCCAAATAAGTAGGTCAAAAAAACGAGCATAAACACAATCCAAGTTCACGCTGTGAACAGTAAATACGAAATCCAAAAACCC